AATTATACATTTTCAATTTTGTGAAGGAACATTTTGTTAAGCGTGTCAGACCCAACAAATAATAGGGGTACGATATACTCCAAAATAAGCCCACTATATTGCACTAGAAAGGTAGTACAAGGCAAGTAGGGTCGATCCACAGAGACATGGGACAATCAGTCTATACCTGTTTTGCGTAAGGTATTTGTTCACAAAGGATTAAATAATGGGGGGTTTTGAGTGTAATGATGTAGCAAACCAATTTAAAACACGAGTAAACAACTAAACTAATAAATTAAGTTCAGATTTTTGTAAGGACTCCAACCCCATGTCTGACAATCTAGCAATGTGAATCAAAGATGACAAGACATTTGTTTCATTCTATCAAGGTTGGTACTTGAAAGTGTTAACAAGCTCTAACACTTTCCATTCACCACATTAATTAATCTAAACAAGCTCTTAGAAGTAGATTAAAAGATTGCATTAAGCTTATTGTGAATGTTCCCAACAACACCCAATACTCCTCACAAGCTCGGCAACGTAAGAATGTGTGAAAAGATTTACACTAAATTTATTCATAAGAAATCAATTTAATGCTTGTTACTTGGTTCAATTCACAAAACAATTACGGATTTTGCAAAATGAATAACTTGAATGACCTAACCCTAATTCAAATGGCCAATAAGAATCATTATTAAAATCAAACATTCGATTGAAGTAAAATCAGTTTCACTAGATAGAAATTGAACACTAACATTAGGTCATATGACTTGATTCACAACCAAAAAGTCAAAACATGAAATTGGAGAAGTTAGGGTTCTGGCCACACATGGCTAGAACAGGATCACAAGTCTAAAATATGAAATTAAGTGCAATTACAACTTACAAAAACAAGAATTAATGTTTCCAAATGATTAACAGACAAACCCTTGCAAAAACCTTCGAATTCTCCTCTCCAATGGTGCTCTGATACGTTGTGTCTCTATGTAAAACGTGACCCAGTTCTTGACATAAGGCAAAAGGGAAAAACTGCTAAAAAGCAGTTTTTAAGTCGAACACGGCCCGTGTCGATATAGAGTAGATCAACACGGGTCGTGTTAAGTGAAAACACACCCTTCAACTTCGATTCAAACTCTAAGAATGATGCTAAAAAATGTTCAACTGGACCAACACGCCCCGTGCCAATATCGAGTAAATGAACACGGATCGTGTTTAGTGAGGTCAAACTGCCTGGGATGGTCAAACACGCCCCGTGTTGGATTTTTGGGCCAAACCCAACACGCCTCGTGTTGCCCTCTGACTCCGAACCCAAACTTGATTTTCTCAATTCTTCCGTTTTATGCCCGATCATCCCGCAATCTTCACCAATTCCCCCCCCCCCCCTCGGCACCTCCAAAAGCGCGCTCCAACCTTCGGTTTACCTGAAAAGGACATAAAAGTGTGCAAATAAGTTTGTTCTAGAGACTAACATGAATATGATGAAATGCAAGAAAAAAGAAAAACAATTGTGCTAAATAGATGCATGAAATGGGACTAAAAGGTGTGCAAAAATATGCACAAATAGCACCTAACACATTTCTTTCAGGTGTTTCATCGATCACTTGGAGTGCATTGTCCTCCTCCTTCATTTTCTAATTTATTTAGTAAGACTTATCACCATTGGAAGCATACAATTCCAATTTTCTGTCCAGAGACATCCAATTCAGCAAATAGATGAACATGTATAGAGATGGGAATAAGAAATTAAGATGTTGGAATTAAAATAAGGGAAAATTGTAAGGGACTTGGATACAGGCATAAGGAATCGTAGGTGCTCTACTTATCCATTATCATTCCCTTCACTCGATCCTACTCCTCACATTCTTGTGCTTCTTAGTCCTCTACCAATCCTCCCAAGATCCTTCCAAAAAAGGTAATTTTGCATTGTAAATCGATTGAAGCAGTAGAAGGTGGTGGTGGCGGCTGGAATCATGGTGGCAGCAGCAGATGGCTGCTGTAGTGGTGGCCGGAGGTTGCTCCGGTTGCCTTTCTTGCTTCCTTCTTGCTTCTGCTCAGCGGGGATGACGAGAGGAAAGAGCGATGAATGATATCAGATGGTAGATGGTCAGAGTAGGGGTGTTCCAACAGTCACTGCGGTGTCGGTGGTGAAGTGGGTTCTGCCAATGGTGGGTGGCAGCTCTGTTGCACGGTTATTTTGGCATCTGACGGTTCACGACGATAAGGAAGGGGAAGGCTGCAATGTTGACGGCAGTGGAGGTAGGTTAATATGGTCCTTTATTATTTTGGCGCATGGGGGGGGGGACCCTTGCATATTAAATTTTATTTATTTATTTATTTAAAAAAAAGTAATTGAATACCTCATAAATGGTCTCTGTGTAGTGCAATGACAAAAATACCCCTGGCTTAACGACTAAATGGTAACAGAGTTAGCCGAAAGGACCAAATGTTAAAAGTTTTGAAACCACAGGGACGATCCGTGAGGTTTTTGTAAATTAGGGATCAAACTTGATATTTCCGAAAACCACAGGGACCATTTTTGAAGTTTTGTCTTGATTTTACCTAAAAAGACAATAAAAGAGGTGGCTTTGGTCCACATAAAGGTAGGTGTGGCAATCCTATCATGTTTGGTATCATGTTTGGGTTGACATGTCATAAACATGGACACGATCTTTATAAATATTTGTATCGTCATGTTCGATCCTAACCTTGGATTAGCCGTAAACATATCAACTCGTGTAACCTGGGTAACCATTTTAATTATACGGGTTTGCAAGTCAGATTCGGGATAGTAGGTCAAATTAGGTTTGAGGTTATAATCGAGTTCGTGCGTCAGAGGGGAAAATCGAAATATCTCATATTTAATTGTTAGTCATTGTTCTCTCTTTTATTTACTAAATATATTTTTATATTATTTTAATCTAATAAAATAAACAGGCCATGTCGAGAATTGTTACCCTGATTGGAGAACCTTTGGCATAAAAAAAAAGTAGGTCGTCTTTTTGTAACAAATCACCCGATGTTTCCTCAACGAAATGAATTGATCTTGCTACCGAATCAAAGAACAAATCTATACAAAATATAAGAACATGAATGAAATGGTGATGTAGTTTAGCATTATGTTTAATAAAGATAAAACTTCAAAAATGGTCCTTGTGGTTTCCAAAAATATCAAGTTTAGTCCCTAAGTTCAAAAAACCTCACAAATGGTCCCTGTGGTTTCAAAACTTTTAACAGATGGTCCTTCCGGCTCACTTCTTTAGCATTTCACTGTTAACTCATTTTTTAATAAAATATTGCAGGGATAATTTCGTCATTTCAGTTGTAACCTTCTCTCTTTAATATGAAATGATTACCTGTTGCTTGCACATCACTACCTGTCCCTCTCCCAAGAAGATAACCAGTTACAAGTTTAGTCATCGGGTTCATTCTCATCATAGAAGCAAGAACAAAAATTGGGATTTAGGGTTTTAAGCTGCATAAATTGCAATGGTGCTATCAATATGGTGTTTTCGAGAAAAAATTGTAACCATGGAGGACTTAGGAAAAAGATATGGTACAATACTACACCAAAACTTGTTTTTTCTTGGTCTATTGTGTTGACGTAAGGAAATCATTGATTTTACTCTTTTTTTTTTTACAAAAGGTTATGATAACTATTTCACGTTGAAGATACGCTACAGTGGTGTCTTCACCAAAGCACCTGGAAGGAAATACGTTGATGGTGTTGTAGCATATGTAGATGATGTTGACACTGATCTATTTTCAGTTCATGAGCTTGACGACATGGTTCGAGAACTAGGGTACAAAACTGAGCAAACCCTTTACTACCATTTCTGTATCCCTAAATACCATTTGGACTATGGCTTAATTCCTTTAGGTAATGATCAAGATGTACTTAAAATGGTATCATATGTCCCTAAACACAAACTTATTAGGGTGTATATTGAAACTGGTCAGACAAGGGTAGCTAGTTATTACAAGTCTCCTTCTAAAGTTGTTATTGAAGAGTTGGAGCCTGATAGTGTGTCACCTGAAATGGATAGAAAGAAACCTTATAGAAGAGAAGCAGGATCATGTAGTAGAAAGTTTGATCTAAACAAGTCTATGAACCCTGGTTACGAGCAGTCACAAGTGTTAGATGTTGATGAAGGCCATGATTACTCAAAGAGTATTCTACCATTTATACGGTCACAAGGCAAACAAAGTCGTGTCATTCAAAAGGAAGTGGTGAATCATGAAATTGAAACTCAAGAAGAAGTGATCACTAGTGCAGTTGAAACTGAATAACAATTAGGAACTTACCATGTACATGAACCAAGCTGCCAAGCTGATGATGGAGCTAATACTACAACAGTTGATGACTATGAACCATTTATAGAGGATTACTCACTTTATGCTGATTATGATGCTGAGTTTAATGTTGAAACTTCATTTGAAAAACAACCATAAGTGGATTATCTAGAGGGTATGGTGAGTGATGATAGTGGAGAGGCTTTCTACTCAGAGAGTGGCCATGGTTTTGAGGATAGTGGAGATGATTATGATGACAGTGAATAAATGTGGATGAGTCTAACATATAATTTGATATAGATGTAGACATGA